ATTAGGAGACTACTACTACCGAGAACAGATCTCAAGGTGTATAAGAGAGGAAGAGAGAAGAGAAGAAGATTTGGGATGAAAATTATGGTTTTCAGCTTCCCTATTTATAGGAAAGTCCCAATGGCATTTTTGTAATTTCTCCTAAACTTTTAATATTATTTTATTATTATGTGGGACCCGCTTTTGATTTTAAATTAAAAGATCCACCGAAAGGTGGTGGCAGCTGGGTGAAAGCTGTACCCAACACTCCGTTTGGGTGAGTTTCCAAATTAACAGGCACTAAAAGAGCTATCATAAGGCAGTATTTTCATTTCAGCTTCGGCATCAACATCATGTAGCAAGGATCTACCATGAGTCAATATCAGGAATATAGATATATATTAGATGCTGATAAAGAAACTCAAAATATATCGCACATCAGAAAATCTCCGAAATAGCATTCTTATAAGCGTGACAAAAAAACTACGAAGTTTAGTACATATCTTGGATACAGGCTAGGCAAACAATCTATTGGGACTTTTACCAATTTCACTATATTTATGAGAATTAGGTCGTGACTTGTTCCAGATATAATCAAACAATATAAAATCAATTGGATAGGTACTGAGAATCACCATATCATGTACCTTTCAGTGGAACACTTGCCTTTGTTTATTTCTTTTTGTGATTGATGCTCTTTCATTGTTAGTTGGCTTTGATCACAATAAAATTGAACATACGGTAAAATTAATACGTTAGCACTAGAGTTTATTTACCAACATAATAATCAATGAAATTATAGGTTAATTTTAGTACATGTAAAAATCAAGTTGTACGTACAGGTGAAGATTGGTCTTTTTTAATTAAGTTAGAGGAATGAATATTGACAGGTTAATCTTGTTACGAACATATAAAATTATGTGAATTTTTTAAAAAGTCACATGACTTTTAAGTGTTCACATGATCATTAGATTACACGATTCTGGTATAAAAATCTTAGTTTTGAAAATGTACGGTCAATCGGAATATATCTCGATCCATATCCAGTCGAATAAGAACATCTTCGAACTGGTGCAAGTTGCTCAAGTTACTGTTAATGAATATTATTATATTTTATTAAAATTTAAATTTAAATATTATGTTATATTTAGTTTAAATTTTTATGTATACATTGAATATTAAAAATTTATAAATAATTTTAATTAATTTTGTTTTATAAATTTATAATATTATTTTTACATTAATAATAATAATCATCATTATTTTATTAATAAAAATTTGATTATAATTCAACTTTGAATTAGTATTTAAACTAATTTAATAATCAATTAATCGTTACAAATAACTAATAACACAATATTAATTATATTGTTTGATCAAAAGATATATTAACATGAACGATACAAACTACCTCAAAATGCAGTTTATAATCAAGTAACCACAATATCTCATGTACATATTTTTTTAATTATAAAACTCGTTAAAATTTGATAATTAATACTATCGTTCTTAAAGATACACATTAATTAAAAGTATTATGAATTTAATTAAAATACATTGAGTATATAAAAAAATTATAGTATCATCTAATCATATGTTACTATATAATACACTCACTAATTGTTATAATAATTACTTTAAAGATAATTTTAAGTTAATTAATGATGTAAAAAATTTATACTAACAATAACTAGAGTAAAATATTATTTATAATAAAAATAATAAAGTTTAATTTTTTAATAAATTTTCTTATATTAAAAAAATTGGTAGAAAACAAAACTGAGAAACAGTATTATTTAACAGAGATTGTAAGTAGAAGGACAAGATAGGTGATTGGAGTCTCACACGTACACAGTGAGTGGAAGAGAGATAAAGAGTGACCGACAGAAAAAAATTGAACAAGTGCAAAAAACCAAACTCCAACATCCACAGGTACCGGCAGCTTTATTTTACCCTATCTCCTGTTCACTCGTCACCTATAGAATCTTTGTTTCTCTGCATTCCCTATTATTTTATTTTTATTATTGTAATTTTTATAAATAAAAAATAAATTATTAATTTGAGTGATGCTAAATTTAATTTTAACTAAATTCTTTAATAAAGAATAGTGGTTGAGAAAATCGATTGTACATGTTTAAAACTGAAATGATCTCTAGTTATGTATTGAATTGAGGAATGTTATAAAAAAAGAATAGAAGGAGAAAATAGGGTTAAAAAAATGAATATGTGGATTATTAATAAAAAAGGTTGGGTAAGGCATGTAGAAATGGTGATGGAGGTTTGAAAGAAGGGAAGTAGTGGGTAGGTTGGTGTCCCTCAGAAAAGTGGTGAAAGTAGGTGGTGGTGGGATCTTTCCAATTCCATTCATGAAGTTGGAGGAAACATTAAATATAAAGATAGGGCGTAAAGTACCTAATCCACCCTTCCCTTTTCTTCTTTACTTTACCCCTTTCATCTCTTTTCTCTCCACCCAGGGCCAGGACACAGGACACAGGACACGGGACACGGGACACGGGGTGAAAAGCAGATAAAGAAGCACGAAAATGACAAGGGTAGACAGGTAAAAGCACACTTTAGATAGATATAAAAATAATGGTTGTGAATGGCAGCATGAGACGAAAGTACTGAAATCCTAAAAATATAAGGATGCAACAACAAGTGCTACAGCGTAGCAGAGAAACAGCATCATCTCATTATCCCTTCAGCCCCTAATCTATCTATCTATCTATCTTCAATACTACACTACCCCTCTTTCTCTCTCTGACCCATTCCCTTTCTCTTTCTCTCTCTACACACAACACAGCGCAACGAAAGAAGAAACATGGAAACTCCACGCATCCTCACACCACCCACCCTCTATTTCTCTCTCATCGATGGCCCAGCTGGACCAAATTTATGTAGAAGAAAGAAAAACAAAAAAGAATGGGAAACAAAAGAAAGAGAAGTTAGATGTGTTCAAATGTCCTCCAACCAAACCCACCTCACATCTCTCTCTCTCACCCAAACTATGTTCCCCGAATTGCCCTTCTGCAAGCCCCCAAAAAATCCCATCTTCATCACTGCTCTTTCAAAACAACAATATTTTTCACCGAGTTATGTGGGCTTTTTGGGTCTCTTTGTCTTGGTCAGAGTTTCTCACAGAGAAAACAGGAAAGCGAGAACCTTCTTACCCCTTCACCCTTCTCTCTCTCTCTCTTTCTCTCTCTCTCTCTCTCTCTTGCCTCTCTTTTCCTATATCTTTCTTTCTCTCACGTTTTGTTCCATCACCCCACCTAGCTGTGAGTAACTATTAAGCCTACTCTGGTCATAACAGAATGCATATTCAAGTTCTTTCTTTACTCACACTGCCTCAATTGGGACATCCATTTGCACCTTTTTTCACTATCTCGTAAAGATTTAGCATGTATCTAAGGATTTCAGTTCCAGCCTAAAATGAATCCACTAGCCCAAAAGTTATGAGTATCAAGATCAGCACATCAGATCAGATTGACAAAGCCTACACAGCATACAAACATACTGTCTCAATTTTGAATTTAATAGGGATTGACTTTTGAGAAAAGTGTAAAACTGAAGATAAATATGCAAACAAAGTCTTAAGAGAGTGATTTAATGTCTAACTCAACTTTACAAAATTAATTTGTAAAATAAGAATTAACTCTGATTTATATACACGATTATGATCTCATCACTAGTATATGATATTCGAAAAGTGCGTTAAAAAAGTCTGTTATATGCTATTAAGTTCTAAACATGTGAACTATATCCAATGATCACGTAGTTCTTGTAGAGTGTAGCTAGATACATACAGGCAAACTAGTATGTAGAGGTTCCAGATCAATAATCTACATCCAAAGATCAGGTAGCAGAGATCATGAATACTGAACAATCAACCAACTCAAAGTGAAATTCATAAATGATAGTTAGAAATAAATCTAATTCACTCAATTAATGTTGGATGATTTCTAGGTATAACAATTATTGATTGTTGGTGAGTCTTGATAAATATTCAATTCTCTCGAGATGTTTAACCTTTGATGTGAAGGAAAGTTTTAAAAATTTCACATCAATTACAGATAAAATTTTATAATAATTTTCACTTATATAAACTAATTTTATAAAATTGAGTTAGATTTAAATTATTTTTTTAATAGTCAATTTAATTTTGTAAGTTGTTTTTAGGCAATTTTCAAGACAAAAACCTCTATTCTTAAGCCAGTTTTCTGAAAACCAAGATTTTTCCAAGAGAACCAGTACTCCGTTTGGGTGAGTTTCCAAATTAACAGGCACTAAAAGAGCTATCATAAGGCAGTATTTTCATTTCAGCTTCGGCATCAACATCATGTAGCAAGGATCTACCATGAGTCAATATCAGGAATATAGATATATATTAGATGCTGATAAAGAAACTCAAAATATATCGCACATCAGAAAATCTCCGAAATAGCATTCTTATAAGCGTGACAAAAAAACTACGAAGTTTAGTACATATCTTGGATACAGGCTAGGCAAACAATCTATTGGGACTTTTACCAATTTCACTATATTTATGAGAATTAGGTCGTGACTTGTTCCAGATATAATCAAACAATATAAAATCAATTGGATAGGTACTGAGAATCACCATATCATGTACCTTTCAGTGGAACACTTGCCTTTGTTTATTTCTTTTTGTGATTGATGCTCTTTCATTGTTAGTTGGCTTTGATCACAATAAAATTGAACATACGGTAAAATTAATACGTTAGCACTAGAGTTTATTTACCAACATAATAATCAATGAAATTATAGGTTAATTTTAGTACATGTAAAAATCAAGTTGTACGTACAGGTGAAGATTGGTCTTTTTTAATTAAGTTAGAGGAATGAATATTGACAGGTTAATCTTGTTACGAACATATAAAATTATGTGAATTTTTTAAAAAGTCACATGACTTTTAAGTGTTCACATGATCATTAGATTACACGATTCTGGTATAAAAATCTTAGTTTTGAAAATGTACGGTCAATCGGAATATATCTCGATCCATATCCAGTCGAATAAGAACATCTTCGAACTGGTGCAAGTTGCTCAAGTTACTGTTAATGAATATTATTATATTTTATTAAAATTTAAATTTAAATATTATGTTATATTTAGTTTAAATTTTTATGTATACATTGAATATTAAAAATTTATAAATAATTTTAATTAATTTTGTTTTATAAATTTATAATATTATTTTTACATTAATAATAATAATCATCATTATTTTATTAATAAAAATTTGATTATAATTCAACTTTGAATTAGTATTTAAACTAATTTAATAATCAATTAATCGTTACAAATAACTAATAACACAATATTAATTATATTGTTTGATCAAAAGATATATTAACATGAACGATACAAACTACCTCAAAATGCAGTTTATAATCAAGTAACCACAATATCTCATGTACATATTTTTTTAATTATAAAACTCGTTAAAATTTGATAATTAATACTATCGTTCTTAAAGATACACATTAATTAAAAGTATTATGAATTTAATTAAAATACATTGAGTATATAAAAAAATTATAGTATCATCTAATCATATGTTACTATATAATACACTCACTAATTGTTATAATAATTACTTTAAAGATAATTTTAAGTTAATTAATGATGTAAAAAATTTATACTAACAATAACTAGAGTAAAATATTATTTATAATAAAAATAATAAAGTTTAATTTTTTAATAAATTTTCTTATATTAAAAAAATTGGTAGAAAACAAAACTGAGAAACAGTATTATTTAACAGAGATTGTAAGTAGAAGGACAAGATAGGTGATTGGAGTCTCACACGTACACAGTGAGTGGAAGAGAGATAAAGAGTGACCGACAGAAAAAAATTGAACAAGTGCAAAAAACCAAACTCCAACATCCACAGGTACCGGCAGCTTTATTTTACCCTATCTCCTGTTCACTCGTCACCTATAGAATCTTTGTTTCTCTGCATTCCCTATTATTTTATTTTTATTATTGTAATTTTTATAAATAAAAAATAAATTATTAATTTGAGTGATGCTAAATTTAATTTTAACTAAATTCTTTAATAAAGAATAGTGGTTGAGAAAATCGATTGTACATGTTTAAAACTGAAATGATCTCTAGTTATGTATTGAATTGAGGAATGTTATAAAAAAAGAATAGAAGGAGAAAATAGGGTTAAAAAAATGAATATGTGGATTATTAATAAAAAAGGTTGGGTAAGGCATGTAGAAATGGTGATGGAGGTTTGAAAGAAGGGAAGTAGTGGGTAGGTTGGTGTCCCTCAGAAAAGTGGTGAAAGTAGGTGGTGGTGGGATCTTTCCAATTCCATTCATGAAGTTGGAGGAAACATTAAATATAAAGATAGGGCGTAAAGTACCTAATCCACCCTTCCCTTTTCTTCTTTACTTTACCCCTTTCATCTCTTTTCTCTCCACCCAGGGCCAGGACACAGGACACAGGACACGGGACACGGGACACGGGGTGAAAAGCAGATAAAGAAGCACGAAAATGACAAGGGTAGACAGGTAAAAGCACACTTTAGATAGATATAAAAATAATGGTTGTGAATGGCAGCATGAGACGAAAGTACTGAAATCCTAAAAATATAAGGATGCAACAACAAGTGCTACAGCGTAGCAGAGAAACAGCATCATCTCATTATCCCTTCAGCCCCTAATCTATCTATCTATCTATCTTCAATACTACACTACCCCTCTTTCTCTCTCTGACCCATTCCCTTTCTCTTTCTCTCTCTACACACAACACAGCGCAACGAAAGAAGAAACATGGAAACTCCACGCATCCTCACACCACCCACCCTCTATTTCTCTCTCATCGATGGCCCAGCTGGACCAAATTTATGTAGAAGAAAGAAAAACAAAAAAGAATGGGAAACAAAAGAAAGAGAAGTTAGATGTGTTCAAATGTCCTCCAACCAAACCCACCTCACATCTCTCTCTCTCACCCAAACTATGTTCCCCGAATTGCCCTTCTGCAAGCCCCCAAAAAATCCCATCTTCATCACTGCTCTTTCAAAACAACAATATTTTTCACCGAGTTATGTGGGCTTTTTGGGTCTCTTTGTCTTGGTCAGAGTTTCTCACAGAGAAAACAGGAAAGCGAGAACCTTCTTACCCCTTCACCCTTCTCTCTCTCTCTCTTTCTCTCTCTCTCTCTCTCTCTTGCCTCTCTTTTCCTATATCTTTCTTTCTCTCACGTTTTGTTCCATCACCCCACCCCACCCCACCCAACCCTACCCACTCACCCACCCACCTTCTTCTTTCTCTCTATCTGCCTTTTCCCTTTAGGTTTGCTTCCTTCTCGCCTTGTGGGTTCTCTTGTTTCTCTCCGATCTCATGAAGAAGATGAAAGGGGTTCTCTCCATGGAGCCTCCTTATGAGGCCTATCAGGATCAGAGAACAAGGTTCAGGCACCAGAGTCTCTTGCAGGATTATCAAGACCTGCACAAGGTAACGCCTTTGCCTTGCCCTCTTCCTTCTTCTTTTCCAAAGATTCCAAATTTCTCTTCTCTGGATCTGGTTTTTCCCTTGATCTCTTTCTGCCTTTTGGTTCATTTAGGGTTATGATGGTTCTTTGTCGTCAAAATTAAGGGTTTCTTTTTGGTGGAAGGGATCTTGTGTTTTGATTGATATGTTTGTTACATGATTTCTTTGGGTTTAACGGGTTAGTCATGGGTGCTTGTTGTGGAAATTAAGGGTTTTTTTTGGTGTGCGATTAAGGGATCTTGTGTTATGATTGATATTCTTGTTTGATTAATTGTTTGGATTTAACCTATGTTTATGTTCCGATCTGATGGGATGATGGGTTTTCATGTTCATCTTTGTGTGTGTGTGTAATTTCTTCGTTTCTTTACGGAGCACAACAATTTTTGGGACAGTAACCTAATCTTTGATTCTTATCTGCAAAATTCTTGAGTATTTGTGATCATAAAGCTGCAATTCTATAACACCAGTGTGCTCTTGGGGTGTGAGTTCTGTTATTTTGTTTGTCAATTTTACATGTTTTCACAAAGCTCCTCTCGGAGCCTTTCCTCTTCACAATTTTGACTTTTGAGTTTCAGCCTCTTGGGTCTCTGTGCTGATTAGCCTTGTACTTTATTTAGGGGGGGGATTATATGTCTTATTTTCTATAGAGCGTTTGAACTTTAAAATCATGAACTTAAGAACAGAATAGTGCCTAATTGTTAATTAGTCTCCTTTTTTCTGACATCTCACTTTACCCATGACATTCCTGGGTCTCTATGCTAAATTGCTTTGTATTTATTTTTGATTCATATGGTTTTTGAATTTATCTAATTCTGAACTTGATGAATAAATAATACTCAGTTATCGGTTAGACCCTGGTTGGATACAAGCTAGAAGCTCTTTTAAGAGCTTCTTTACTGAAAATAGAGTATATACCAGTAGAGAAGCAGCTCTTCCAAGCATGCATCCAAACAAGCTCTGTCCTATAATTCTTTCATCTTGGTGGCTCACTTTCCATTGTCAAAACTCAACAATTTCGTTAGGGTGTTTGTTTGTCTAATTTCCTCGTGCAAAGTCTTTGTTTCAAAGGTTTTTTTTTTTTCCAATATATTTTTTGGAGAAACTGTTTTCATCAAATTTCTGTTTTATAATATGCTTAGGAAACAGAAGCCATGAGAAGGAAATTGCAGGCTACGAAGCAGAACAAGTTGATGCTGGAAGATGAAGTTAGGTAATGTTTCACGCCTCAAAGTAGTAGCTGTTTCTTTTCCATAGTTTACAGTTTAATGTCAATCACAGTTACAGGTTTTTCATGATTTGCAGTTTATTGTTATCCTCCTCACTGTCTCTCTTGTAACTGCAGTTTTTTAAGGCAACGTTATAAATACTTGCTAAAACACCCTATTCCAAAGCAAGAAGTTGTAAAGCCACAAAAGCTCAAAATCCAAGCTTCCATCACGGCGAAGGGAAAGAGTTACAATAGAAAGGAACCTGCTCTTCGACCCCACCCCACATCTCATTTTAACCCAAACGGAAGGAGTTGTAATTTGCCTGAGTTCCCATTGCAAAAAACTGGCCATCTGTTTGATCTAAACCAGAATGCTAGGAGTTATAGTAAAAAAGATGCTGCTATTCACAGTTCTGCTCCACCAGCACTTGACTTGAATCACAAAGAAAGGATTCACAGCAGCAAGGAAGCCGCAAAGAAGAGTGTAACTCCATTTTTTGACTTGAACCAGATTTCGGTAATTAGCTGAACATGCTGTGTTTGCATCATTAGTCCTTGTTTATGTTTGTTTCAAGTAGACTCATGGTTTCCTTCGGTTCTGGTGATGCAGAGAGAAGAGGAGGAATTACAAGGCAACGGTGAGCCTATGAGGATCGAAGAACCAAAGAGAAGTACGCAAAGAGTTACGGGGGAGGAGCACAACGATATCAAGCTCTCGGCTTGCAGAAGCGTTGGGGATGGATCAAATAGGGCAGGGAAGAGGAAGATTTCATGGCAAGACCAGGTGGCATTGAGGGTTTGATCTATAAGGCTGAATTCCTTTTGTCTGCCTTAATATGCAAACACATTTTTAACCTTCCATTCTAGTTTTATGTTTTACTTTGTAAAGATAAAAGTATACCTTATAGAATCATATGTTCAATATATATATTAATTAGATGAAATGGAGAATTCTGTTCCCCTAAATCATCTTATCTTTCATTCTCCACACGAGTTTTTTTTATATATCTTTTGCATGGGAAAAAGTTGTCCAAAACTGGATTTCAATTCATATGTTTGGTGGTAGATAAGAAAGAAATAGGTAGAAACCGGTGAGAAATAAATTAGTAGAAATAGAATAAAAATTTGATTCTTTGATTGAAAAAAAAATAGGTGAGAAATAATTATACATATTTAATAAGATAGAAAGAAATATGTGAGAATAAAATATAAAAAAAAAAATAAGAGAAATAAATAAATGATAAGAGTTAAAAATAAAAAGGAATATTTTTAAAATTATTTTTTTATTATATAACTAAATAAATAATATTTTGAAATAAATAAATAACTTATTAAGGAAATAATTTTAAAGTAATACTTTTTAGATTAAAAATTAATTAAAATACAGTTCTATTTGAATGAAAGTTTACGTTTTTGAAAGCAAACATTCGGAGAACAGTTTTATTTATTTGAATAAATATAAAAAAATGTGTGAATAATGATTTTTATTTGAATGTGAATAACGTTTTATTTAAATAAAAATGAATTTTAAGTGTGATTTCAGTATGTAATAGTTTATTCGAATATGAATGAATTTTAAACATATGTTGTTTATTTTTGTGTTGATTTGCGAAGAAATAAAATATGTGAAACTTAATTTTTTTTATTTCTTCGCTTATAAAAAAAAAAAATTCTTCGCTATTTTGTGACTGTACCATATTTCTTCGCCATTTTCCATCTAGCAAAGGAAGAGTTGGATTCTTGTGTTTGTTTCTCTTTTTCTGGCTGGTTTTGAAGGTGGGGGATTAGGTCGTTTAGTTTTAGTTCACGACGGCTATCCATTAGTTCACTTAACATAAGATTCTCCGTTGTGCCCAATCATTATTCTATTGCTTAATGTCTCTACTTAACTTATCCACCATTTGGAAGAAACCTAGGTATAAATTAAATACTAGCAGAATTTAGGGTGGGATTTTGCGAGTATGGGTGCCACCACAAAGTTGTTAAATGTCAATTCCGTCGATTTTTTTAAAAAATCTCGGAATTTGTGATCTATTAGTACATTTATAATAAAAGTTGTTTATAAATAACTCTAATTACTTTAAATGGACATCATTATGTCATATCACTTATAAGTAATTCATATAATATTTTTATAATTTTTATTTTAACGAGAATTGTTTATAAATACTTTCACTTTTTGTCAACTCATTTCACTTTTTGATAAATTTGAAAATTTTAATTATTTATAGATAATATATAAATATAAATATAAAATCTTATATGTATTTGTCATGATGTTTTTATCTGATTTTTCACTTTTTCTTTTATCACGAGTTTGTTTGTAACATCCGACAAATAATTGAACTTTTTTATTGATTTGAAACCAATAACTTTTTAACTGAACCTGATTTTTTTTATGGAAATTGATTGCAATTGTTATTGTAATTCTCTTTTATTCTTATCTAGAAACTATTTCTAGTGTGATCAACTTTCATAATTGGATCTTTCAAAATGTTGAGTCATAGTTGAATAAGGAGATTGTCCTCTTCCACTAAGAAACTAACACATAATTTTTTTTTTAGTAGATAATTTTTCTCCTTTCTGTCCTCCTACGTTAACTGTAATGTTCACTAGCCCAACTTGAGACTTTATATTAAACTAATTGATGATTTTGTTTCTCGATCTAATGGCTCAATGTAGGATGGGGGGCATGTTGCAGGGTGGTAGGCGTGACGTTGGGCAGCGGCTGCGACATGGTTCGTGCCGCCAAGGGTAGGGGCTCTGCGTTCCTCTGCGCAGTTCCAAGATGGTAGGCGTGGCGTTGGGTAGTGGCATGGCATGTTAACATTAATTCATGTTGAAGCCTAACCTTGCAAGAAAATCATCCTTGAGCTACAATTTTTGCTTTTAGTTGTCATGATTCTCTTTACTATTGCCTAGAAAATGAGAAAATGATGTAGCTGTTTCATCCGTGTAAATGTTGACTCTACAACATTTGTATAAAAAAATATTTTATTAGAAATATATAAATTAATTAACATTTTTAATAACTAATTTTAGCATTTTCCATTTTACCATTTTTTACTTTTACTCAATTAATTTAGTCAGCAACATGTTTATTATTTTTAATTAAGTAAATGTATTTAATGAATTATTTTGAATATAAATATTGACAAATGTACATAACACTAAAAGTTTATTTTAAAATTTAAATTTAAATTAGAAAATTACGTTAATGTCTTTTCCTTATGATTCATTTCAACAATACCATTTATAGTATATTATAGTTGATAAATCTCTCTTCCTAAAGAATTATTGAAAATATTGATAAGAATGTATCGGAAAAATATCAAATATAATTAATGTGTTTAATGAAAAATATCTACTTTTTATCCTTTGACTATTATTTTCAAAGATTATTGTAAACAAAATCTTGAATAAAATCTAAATATTGATATAAAACGTAGAGATGTAAAATGAGAAAGTAGGACTTTATTCGTCATTTGATTGAATTTAAGTATTTTAAAGGCTAAAAACCTATTTTGGTCCCTTATAATCTTTTTTTGTTTCAATTTAGTTCCTCATTAATTTTTAGTCTTTAGTCACAATAATATTGGATCAATTATTTGAATTTAGTTGGAATAGTATGCAACACTATTATGATTCCCCGTGAAAAAAATAAAAATAAAAAACTATTTTGGAGTTTGAAAAAATAATTAAACGACTAAATTAATGGTTTGTTGTTTAAATGATCCCATCCAAACGTGCAACAGCACTTTCATAAAATGGTTCACTTTAGTCATAGCATAAACACTATTGAACTTGATAAGAAAAATAAAAGCAAAAACAATTAACAACTAAACAACAACAAGAAGGTTGATCGAGATCACTGAAATTTACAGTTTAATAAAGGCTATTGAAGAAAAACAACACATGTTATCAGAAAAACATAACTGAACAATAGCTGTACGAAAAGTTAGAGAGAAGATTAAAGATGTAAAACATTGAAATACCCAAACTACATAATAAATATGTAGTTGATCTTATTAATATTTGACAAAAAAAATTTAAAGATACAGCATCTGAAGCATTTAGTTTAACACTTAACGACAATTGAAAGCTATGCACAAACATTAAGAAAAAATTACGTATACCTCTGTTATCGTCTGAAATTGTTTACTCAAGTCATCTGAGAAAGGATAACGATTTGCTCCAAAAGCATCACATATTTTCAGAATTTTACTTTTAACTCTCTCTCCAGAATAAAAGACAACAAATACATTTTTATGAACCTGTAAAAAGGGAGACTATAAAACACTAAGATAGTAGAAATGACCGGTGGCAACAGAAGAGTAAATTTCCAGAATCAGAAAAGATAATTATATATAAAAATAAGTCAAAACAGCATCTTCTTTCATCTCTTTAAGTTCGCAGCTTTTTTTAAAAAAAAAGGAGGAACTGCGATGATCTAGTGCTCATGTTACATATCTAAATTTCTGCAAGAGGTTAAAGATTTAACTTTAAAAATTTAAAATAACCTTCTCTCCTGACAAAGGATCAAGAACAGGATGTTCAACCACAGTCTGTTTGAGAAACACATTTCCCCTAGTAGCACGAAATATAATTCTTTCAAAAGGAATTGATTTTTCCCTAGGAACAAGTCCACATATAAACCCCAGCTTAACTTGCTTTGTTGTTGTCTCCTCCTGAACATAAATTTAATAAGCATCATCGACAGGAGAAATAAAACAAAACTGTAAAGAAACAAACAAAAACTACAAAACTGCAACTTATACTTGTTCCAATAATAATGGGCTGTCAAGAGACCCTTCAGCACCTGCATAGACTTCAAGGTCCCTCTGGTGAGCTACAGCATTACTTCTTGCTGAAGAGAAAAACTCACCAACCTGACACGATAAAGCAAATAAGGGATTACCACTTTGCAGTTTTGTATCCAACCAAGGAAAGAAAAGAAAAGACCAAATATATATGTCACAATTCACAAGCCTAAGAATAAGTTTTTCTGTACTGACAAAATGTATGCAGCGAGACAGAAATAAATCATAATAATATACCAAAAATTAAATGTTTATACACTTCTATTTAAACACAAGCAAGATGATCAGCAAAGTTAGCCTGTTTATCAGAAATTATTATGGCATTTTTTAATCAGAGTAATTATGGCTTTTGTGGCATTGTAGAAGTTAGCAAAACATACCTTCTCTACAACAAGCTTATACTCTAACAGCTCATTGTAAGTGTGTTGCAACTTCTCATTATTTGCGTTAATCTCAAGTAGCTCAGCTTCAAGTTCTTGAAGTTTAACCTAGTCATGAGGAAAAGTTTCATCACATGATCCTGCGTTCTTGAACAGAAGAATAGGTAACAAAAATTTCAGAGCATGTAACAACCTCCAAACTTTCCAGATCATCAAAAGATTATAAGGGACCAAAATAGGTTTTTAGCCTATTTTAAAATATAACATGCTTAATTTGACTTTAGATATATCTTATTTATATTCATTTTACGTATTTCTTCACCTAAAAGTTTAATGTGGTAGAAAATATCATCTAAGAAAATTTTAAATATCTATTTTACCGTCAATTTAAAATAATTTAGTAATTTATTTTAAAGTATAGTTTTGAGTAAAAATTTTAAAAATAATTTATTATACATATTTTGCAATTTATTTGAATTTATATATTATACTAATATATATTTAAACCTTTAAAATAATATTTTTTTTAGTAACATTGTTTTTAATGCACTCTTTTTGACACAATTTTATCTTTGTTATAATTTTTTTTATTTACTCTTCTAACATTGAATGCTGTCATTTCAAATATTTTAAAATCATAAAGACTTTTTAAATCTTATGATATAAATTCAATAAGATTTATTATCTACTCATTTAGTTCTACAATTGTACAAATTTTATCTTATAATTTTCATACAAATATTTTCAATTTTCTTTTGGTTCCTTGTTTAGAAGTGTTTGTGAATTAAATTTTTGAAAAATTTAAAATAGATTAATTAATTGATCCATTTTTTTTATAAAATGGATTGGATCAATGTGATTATCCACTTGATACCCATATATGAATTTTTTTTATAAAAAAAATCAAATAGAACTGATTTAATTTGTAAAAATAGATTGGATAATCAATTATAGTTTTGCAAGTGGATTCAAACTTTTTTTACAAAATGGATCATATTTTTATAATATGGATTGGATCAGTTCGGTTTAGATCGATTTAAATTTTTTTGCACACTCATACCTTGTTAAACCCTTGTTCATTACATTTTAACATGCTATAAATTATTGTCTCATTTGGGGAATTGGTACATAAGAAGACAAAAAAAAAACTTATTTATGAGATAAAGGATGCAACATGTTAACTCAAAGCACTATCGTGGTAAGTTGCACATACCATGCTTTTTTTTTTTTGGTAAAGTAAGAAAGTTAAAACAAAGCAGTCAATTCAAAACATAGAGTCTCTCCCTAACGGAAACAAAACAAAATCTGGAGGACTCCTCCAAAATACATTGGAACCTAGGTTCCTTACACCCCAACTAGCAAGCGTATGAGCTACTGAGTTTATTTCTCGAGGAATATGACTTACGTAAACTACCCAATCCCGAGCTAGCAATCGCTGAACACGCCGAATAACATCATAGTGCTTGTGCAGATAATCCCTATCCGTTGGCCGATCTTGAAACAACTTAACAGCTCCCAGGCAGTCACATTCGCAGCTCACCTTCCGAAACCCACCTTCCCAACAAAACGAGAGACCCTCCTCCAAAGCCAACAACTCAGCACGTAACGCATCACCAGGTAAGGCGCCTCGCGAAAAGCCCCCCCGCCACATACTTGCCCAATCACGAATTACTCCACCCATCCCCATAGCAGAAGTCTCACTCAACCAACTCCCGTCCGTGTTTAGCTTGACCCATGGGTGCTCCGGAGGCCTCCAAAGGGCTTGCTCCACCCATAGCACATACCATGCTTAGGGATGGAAAATTACCCGCACCCGCAGGTATTTGCGGGTAAAATCTGCTACGGATAATAAATAGATAGGTTAATTGGGTACTCGCGGATAATGAGGACGGATAATTTTTTACCCGTTTATAAATGGGACGAGGGCGGGTATGATGATATCTATACTCGCAAGTACCCGTTTAATAAAATTTCTTAAATATCTTAATTATCCTTATATCACGTAATCCTAAAACTACACTCTCTCATATTATTTTCTTACAAAAGTGAGGTTGATGAAGTTACCAACATGTATTAAGCCTGTTATAAAATTATGTTGGATGTAATTTGATTAATTTTCTAGCTTTGATTATTGGACCAATAAGATTTATGTATTTTAAATTGTTTACTTTCGTTTAGAATTATGAAATTAAATTATTGTAGCTTTGTGATGAGACTTTAACTTACTTGTGAGATTGATGTATTTTAAGTTATTGATTATCTTGCATTTTTATTATTATTTCAACAAAATTAATGTTAAATACAAGTTCAAAATTAACATTAAATTTTTATTTTTAATATTTAAATGACATTAAATATAAACTTAAAATTATTTATAATATAATTTTTTTTTAATTTTTAAAAAAAATTATAAATATCTATAGATATCCGTGAGTATTCAAGAAATTCATGAATATTCGCTTAATAGATACTCGCGCGGATATGAGATGGGTATGGAGTCAATTTTTATCTAACTGGGCGGGGACGGGTTTACTGTTACCCGTCCCCGTGGGGCCCATTGCCATCCCTAGAACCTATACATGTTAGCCAAGTGTCTTTTCCCAATTATATGGTTTTGCCTAACACTTGCAAGAGTTAATTTGAACATGACAAACTTTACACCAAAATTTAAACGTCTTTGTTGTCAAGGCATATGCTTCCCGAACAGCTTCTTGCTCAGTAGCTGTTTTACTCTTGTTCTCTAGACAACCTAGATCTTGGATTTCCTGCGCAGCTTGATCCTCTTTTGTAGATTCTGGTACGCTTGTGTTTGTGGGGGTTAAATAAGGTTGAAGTATTTGGTTCTCTAGTCTTGCTTCCAACCCTGAATTCATGGTAACATTCGCTTCAGTAGCTTTTACACATTGTATTTTCCTTTAATGATAATGGTAATGAGGTTTCGGTGCTCTTAATTACATATTTTTTGTAGGTCTCAACTCTTAAGGATGCTTCTTTGTTCTTGCGCTTTTTACCTTGAAGATGATCCTTCAAGGCTTGCTCACCAGTGGTAGTAATTATCTGACAAAGAGCACAACTCCACTCATGCTTAGGTTTCTTTTGTAAACTAAATGAAGAATGTTCACTGTCATCAATTGCAGGAGGTGTCACAGCTTGGCGCTTTGCACCATGAAGAACAGCATCCAGCTTAGCTTGCGATGGGACACACACAAAAAAATAAAAATAAATAAAAAAACTATAAGCTTTCGCGCCAATTAAAAGCTTCAACATTGCCCATTTATTAACATCTAACAATCCAAACCCACCTGAGAAAAATCGAAAAATTCACCGTTTAAAAAAAGAATAGACTAAATATCCAATTCTGCAATACAAAACCCTAATGGAGGAACCTAAAGCCCAATTGTTAAGATTACTCATGTTGTACATAAATTATAAAACAAAATTTAGATATAATATTGATGTTTTTTTTTATCAAAATTAAAGTTTTACTTCAATAATTAATATATATATATATATATATATATATTAATAAAATCTGTAAATAAATAGTATCGAAGGAAAATTCCAATTCTTATTATAAAAAAAACATAAATTATGCTTAAAAAATTAATTTTATCTTAAATTAAAACAGTTGGATAATGATGAGCCTGATCAAACAGTTTCAATATCCGATCATTTTCACAATCCAAACCCCACAAACGAAGAAGCGAGAAGAAAAAGAAAATAAAATCGAAGAGAAAATAAAATTAAAAACCGTTAATTTATGAATTATTAAATAATAAAAACTTCTTTGATTAGTAAAAAAAATGGGGTGGCAAATTTATACTGATAAGTTTAGTTGAAAGGAAAACTAGTTTAAAGAAATAGTTGAAATACATTCGAGTGAAAATGACTTACTAGTTACTTGATTATAAATATTGGGTACATGACTTATTTATAAGTCTCAACATCACCATTCATGTTTTATGTAGAGAATTCTAAAAATATCTATTTTAAAATTTTATATCTATATGTAATTGCCTATATAATTCTAGAATTTATATCATCTAATAATTATTAGCATATACTTATGTATTTTTCTATAATAATATAGTTTATTATATAAATTTGTGTCACATTTTAACAAAAACATATAGCACTACACACTAACCGTTATAATCTCTTAATTCTTGTTAGTGTGAGTGGACAATTGCTTTGGCATATAAGGTTGTCTAGTATCAACGTGGGGGCCAAAATGTGGCTGTGACCCACCAAATATGTTGATGTTATTACCAGTGTTGTTTGTTCGTTTGTGTTGAAGTCGAGAACCCCACTGATCTTTGCATTGAGATTTCTATAGTGCTCTCTCCAACTCCCTTCGATTTTGCTGTTTTTGTAACTCTCGCCGCAACGCTTCTTCCACATTCACAGACACTTGCGTTTGGAATACTCTCGTCTCCGGAACATTGACCGTAAACCCACCTGGCCAAAACACAGACTCTAGAGAGTGAATGAAATAAACTCATGCAAACAATAGTCTTGTTCTTTTTAGCATATACAGGGTAAAAGTGTTTTTGAAAACTTTTTATTAAAAATATTTTTTTTATTATTTTTAATAGAGAATTTTTTAAAAATATTTTTAACTTGATCCAGACTCTTAAACAACTATACAAATGGGTCTCTTGAAAGAGAAACCTTAGTTATCTTGTAATGAGGGTTGGGGAGGCGTAGGTGACTGTGGGAAGAGCTTCCGACATTGGTGTCAATCCGTTTTGGATCGTAGTTGAACTCCATTGAGAATTAGTGATTGAAAGTGAAACTTGGGAAAAGCTCAAAGAGTAGAGAAAATGAGTATGAGTGTGTGCAGTATTGAATTCGAAAGTGTGATTATACAGGTTATAATAAATATTTTTTTAGTAATATATAAATTAATTAACATTCTAATGATTAATTTTATCATTTTCCATTAATTTGACCATTTTTCTTTTACTCAATGAATTTAGTCAGCAACTTTTTTTTATTAATTAAAGCTAGCTATTTTACTTTTAATTAAGTGAAGGTATTTAATGAATTATTTTGAATATAAATCTTGACAAATACATATTTGACACTAAAAAGAATTTGAAGTTAAATTTAAATGAGGGTATTACTTTAATGTCTTTTCCTTATGTTCCATTTCAACAATACCTTTAATATTTGATATATCTTTCTTCTTAAAAAATTATTGATAAGAGTGT